TGGAGGCATCAAACTCTGGCTCCCCTTTCTGCTCAAACACAAGTCAAATGATATGAATTTGTGACAAAACTTAGTAAAAGCTGTTTGCACCAAACTGTTTATTGCTGATCCACTCAGCTGTTGCGTCTCTTGTGATGTCACCAAGCCAGATGCACAGAAAGTAGAATTAGTGGGGGAGGGGGTTTCCCTTGTGCTCAGAAAAAACTTTGTCTCTTGTGGCACTTAAGATTAGATTAAAATAACTTTAAAGTAGTAAAGAAAGTGTGTTTTCTTTCTGCAAACACTGCAGCATGAATACAAAGAAACAAAGTCCAATCGCCTACGTGGTCATTCTGTTGTACTTTGATGAGTTGGCTTTCATTGCACACACACATGCACTGTCACATAATGTCCCATAGGTTTGTAGTACTCTCCAGATACTATGACCCACTTCAACCTATTTTAGCATGATGAAATAACTTACATGAGAGTAACAGTGATGAAAATTTACTGCGGCTTATTATTGATCATGCTGCCATTAGCGAATTCCCATTATCGGCCCGGTTATAATCCATGCCCAACTCTGACAGGCAGACTTAAATGGCCTTTCAGTCAGGGAGAGAACTCCATGTTCAGCTCCAAACGGCAGGACATGTGAACAGCACGGGGCCATGTCAAAAGTCACCTCTAAAAACATGGGGGGAATATGACAATCACATGAATCTATGCAGCTTTGCAGTGGAGCGGTGATCCACTTATCCGCTATGACTTTTAATGTGGCAAGCACCTGTTAACCTGCATCAAGCACAAGACAGAAACTGACGAAACAACAAGATTTTGGGGGGTTAATGAGATATTTGCCTGATTTGTAAACATATATTTGAAGCAGCTTTAGCAGTTGGCTTCGCAGTGCCCATTCACGCACAGTCTCACATGCAAACATGCAACATACTTGTTATTGTGTGTTGAAAGGACCAGGCGAGGAGCTCAGTCCTGGTTCTGTGAGAGCAACAGCGTTCAGTTGATCTCTTCAGACAAAACAGAACAGTCCTCCAGCATCAGATCTCCAGCTCAGTCCCGGACAGGAACAATAACGAAAATAAATAAATAAAATAAACAACCACAACAAACAGGATGTTCACAGAGTGCACCACAGTCCAGCTAAAATCCGGCTTCGCTTTGGGGCAATAAAGGACCGAGTTGTATATCCTTATCAGCATCTCTCGGGGTGCGGCGCTCATCATCCCGCATCCTCTACAGCAGCAGCAGCAGTAGCCCCTGAGATTAAAATCATGTCCGGCCCGGCCTCAAACTACGACTGCATCCCGGAGACTCGTCACGGGACCGGGGCGCATCTTATGTATTGTTTTCCCCCCTCGAAAAGGAAATACTCCACTCATGAACTGCGTCCACGAGCGTCCTCGGCTTGGACGTGCATGACAGTCTCCATTGTCCCCCCCGCTGGCATCTGGGATCAAAGCGAAAGCACCAGGCCGGGCAGACGCTGCTGCTGCAAATGCCTCAGCAGCATCATCAGCTGCAGCCTGACGGAGCAGCCGCCGCTTTCCTCTTTCACCGGTTGGTGCGTCTGCGGGGCGCGCGCGCTGGCTGTAGGGACGGATACAGGGCGTTGCTGGGGAAGATGCTGAAAGAGGAAATTATGTTCTGGTTCTACTGAGACCCATTTGCCATGCTAACTAGACTGAAATAGATCATTTAGGGGAAAAACAGCATCGTTTTGTACTTCTTTTTTCAAGAGTCCTAATTTGTCAATAGATTCCATCACAATCAAATCTCACTGCATGAAAGTTGTTGAGAAAAAAAATAGATTATAATTCCTGGGATTGTTTAAGTCTAAAAGGAACGTTTAAAAGAAAGTCAATTTGTTTTTAACATGATGTTCATATGTATCCTCACACAGATGAGTCAGTTTCGATAGGTTACGGTTCGTTGCATGCTGACAGTCGGAGTAAACATGAGGGAGGTTTTGGTCTGTCTCTTTAAAGGCCGCACCTGCGCAGCTGCCTGGTGCTGATGCTGCAGTGCCCGGGTTATTTTCGGTAAAATAGCCGGGGTTACTCGCGTTCAAGCGGGCCCTACACTCCTTACATCACCCCTGAGAGGAAATCGAGCCCATTTTTAGCCAATCGCACCTGCTTCTTAATCAGACTAATTTAAAAACGAGCTCCCAGGTCGCTTCACTTTGAGTCCTCCAATCCATCTCTCTCTCTGTGAAGCTGCTGATATGATCAAGGATTCTTCTTGCACAGTATCCATATTCATTTGACATTTTGTCACGTTTGCTCAAACGTTCCTTTCCTGGGACTTTGGGTTTTAAACAAAAACAATTCAGATTATTAATTGGGACAATTCAAAACGAATGTCAAGTCAGGTCACTTTGCAAGAAAAATGTGATCATATCCATGATGACATTAAGCTACATACATTAATATTTGATTCATCCATTTGGATTCAACCCCACCTTATACTACAGCTGCATGTCTTCTGGGGCATGTCTCCACCAACTTCACCCATCCAGAAAGGGTTTGAGCATTATTATTTCAAAAATAACCCCAAATCAGTAAGATTAGATAAAGAACATATATGAACATCAGCTTTTAAGTCTTGCCACAGATTCTGTGAGGGTTTTAGGATTATCAATAACTGGCTCAATCTAATGAGTGGATATGCTCTGATCTAAACTGTTCCTTTGGCTGTTTATGCAGGATTGGTGACCTGCTGGAAGGTCAATCTCCACCCCAGCCCCAAGTCTTTCACAAAACCCCCACATCAACTCTGACCAGTTTTGATGTGACTACCAATAATAACAAAGCTGCCACCAATATGTGTCACTTTGCATGTGACTGGTGCACAGTGTCTGTTTGGTGACCTTTTATAGCAAATTTTAATCTGCAAATTTTAATCTGCTCTCTTTTACTGTGAGGTGAAAGAGACCAAAGGGAGCTCAATTGAAGAGCAAACATTTTAGATTTTTATTTACAAAAAGAAAGAATGCTATGTCTAATTATTAACTTCACTTCACATTTATGCATTGCTTTGTTTATAAAAGAAAATCTACAGTGCAAGTCACTGTAGATTGGAACAGATCCCACTAATGGTGAGTTTTGTCTTCTTCAGCCTTTATGTAAAAGGAAATTAGTAAAGTGGTAATTTTGTTTTGAAGCTCAGTAAATAGGTTGAATATTATACAAACTTTATTGGTGACAAATTCCTTGTTTGCACACAGAAACATTTTCCCTCTATTCTCCTCTCGAGGAGAACAAGATGGTATTTATTAACTTCTTCAAAGAATGAGGGAAAGATTTCATACAGATTATCTGAAAGCTTTATTATTATTCTTGGAACTGAATGACAAAAAAATCAATCTCATGGCAGATTGTTAATCTAATCATTAACAATTGTTCTTTTCTTCATGTTCACATTATCAGTGACAGAGAGCTCTGTGAGATAACAGCACAGGTGATGGTTTCCTTCATCTCTCAGGTGGGCATTTAAAATTAGAATAAAAGATGGCTTTGTAAAGTGGGAGTGGGAGGAAGTTTGTGAATTTTTTTCTGCCAATAAATGAGGGCTTGCTCTCCTATAAATACAAATGTGAAGAACTGGAGGAGAAACATCACACAGAATGGCTCCAAGACATGCTGCTCTGCTCTCAGTGAGCTTTCTTCTCCTGCTGCTGCCACATGAAGTGATCACAAACCAAGGTATGCTGGTGAGAATGTATTAATCCATAGAGGTGTGAATTACGCTGTGCATCAGTGTCAATTTCTGTGCAGGTTTCGCCTCTCTTCCGATCAGGCTGACTGTGGAGAATGACCTCTCCAACATGGCTCCCGAGTCGTTTTCTACCTCCGTGGTGAAAGGGGGTGTTCTGTTCGGAGCTCTGATGAAACTCCAGGAGACTCAGCCAGACTTCAAGTAAGATCCCAGATGAAATTTCCCCCACCAAGTCATCTTTTCATCTCAGAAACCCAGTATTTATTTAAAGCCGTGACCCATTTCTGCTTGTAATGACCGGCCCTCGTCTTCTTGTGTCATCAGGTTCACGGTGAAGGTAGATCCAAACTTTGGCTTGTTTCTAGAGAGCGTGAACGGAGTGGCTGGAGATGCAAACGACCAGACCTACTGGGAGATCCTGACTGAAAACTCTGGAGAGTACACCAGACTGGATGTGGGTGAGTTTCCTCCAAGGAGATTCAGCAAAAACAGATCCGAGGGGGATCCAATGAGCTTTAATGAATCAGGGGGATAGCTTGTTCTTTTACTTACTGTTAATTAAGCTGCGCAGAGAAATAATCAAAAACTGTTGGGAAACACAGTTTTCCTTTGCAGTTTCAGTGAAATTATACATATTATTTAAATAAAAAACTTCTCCTGTACTGCTGTAGAAAGGAAAAAAAATTAGAAAATGTGCCTGGAAACAAACTGATAACATACCCATCTTGTGTCTGCTTTCACAGGAATCGGCTGCTACACTCCTACAGCAGATGAGCACATCGTCCTGCGGTTCAGAACCTGGAGCTCCACCACGGAGGAGTGATCTGCCGTAACTCACCCGGATCACATGCAGCGGAGAAGAAGCAAGCTCCGCATTTCATATCTATCATCCACTAGTACTCATGACTTGGTTTAGATTAAAATATTGCTACCATTTCTCCTTATGCAATGTGAGATAATAAAAGCAACAGCAACACCTAGTGGTGTCTGGCAGAAACGTCATTCTTTGAAGGTAAATAGTCAAAGAAAAATATGAAGAAATGAGAAAGTAAAAAAAAAAAACAAATTTGCAGCATTTTATGTAGAACGAATTTATGAAAGTGTAGTCAGCAAAAGGAAAATGGCAATAAACTTTCCACACAAATGATTTAATTGATGTGAATATATATATCTTACAAATATTGTTCCAAAATGTTTTTCACATTGAATTATTAAAAAGTGCACACATTGCAGTAATCATGAATACCATTTTTAACAAGGTTTACAAGAGACATCTGACTGCAGATCTGCCTTTTGTAACAAGATTAGTGTTTTAGCTCCTTGCAGGACAGATGGACTGAGCGGTGGAGCAGTGGAGTTTACAAGCAAACACACATCTTATAGTTTTAAGCCTCAGGCATCAACCTAATTCTGTCTCAGAAAGCAAAGAAAAACTGCTGGCTTGCAAAGGTAAAGTGAAAATAATATATTTTCATGTTTTGTTATGTTACCGATGTGTCTGAGGAAGTGGATGAAGACTTTCACTTGATCATCTGACGTCCCTGTCAGGATTAGCCTGCAGTTGCTAGAAATACACATATACAAGAAAAGAGCACAAATGTTCATCACAGAAATAATGCAGCACGTTCAGATCTAAATGTGCAGAGAAGATTACATCAAAGGTTCCTCACCGCATGATAAGGAGCAGTCACAAATACAAGGAACACACTGCGTGAAGAACCTCTTCCAGCCCGTCTCCTTCTTCTTGCAGTTGTTCATCAGTGAGCAGCCCAGTTTGGGTGGGCCGAAGTAGCTCTTATTCTCACAGGTGGAGTCACACGTGCCGTTCAGCTCGCTCTCCCTGACTTCAACCCTTCCACGCTGACACATCCCTAGCAGGCAGGCAGGATCTCAGCAGGACTCTTTGATGAAGACTTTTCTGATTTATTTGTTTTATTTATTACTCACTGAGGCAGATGGGTTTGGGGGTCCAGAGGCCATTGGACTGGCATGACCTGTTGGGGGTTCCCAGCAGGATGAAGCCAGAGCGACAGGCGTACCTCACCACAGAGCCCACCCACCAGTCATTACCGTAAACTACTCCGTTATAGTCCGAATCAGGCCTGCCACAGTTCACTGACACATGAAGAGAACCACAATGAGGACAGTATGCTATGATTTTTTTATGGAGAATGAAAGAGTTGACACTGACTGACCTCTGCAGAGAGATTTGTAGCCGAGCCAGCAGCAGCTGGAGTCGCCACAAGGGTCTTTCCTGAGCTCCTGGTGACGGGCCTTACACCCTCCCACACACAGCGGCGCTGACCCGGACCAGTAGGTGTCATCCAGGAGATCCAGCTGGGGAATCCATTCCGTCTCACCTGCAGGGAAAACATTTTGTATTTTCACTTACTTTTGGTCAAATAAATTGAGGAAAATCTTATTCTATAACCAAGTTAGAACATTAACAAGTTCATAAGAAGATGGGTTTTGTGTTCCAGAGATTATGGATTTTTGGTGTAAAATGTATCCATAAACCCCAGATAAAGAGCAAAAGGGTGTCATTATTTACAGTGAATAAAGTCCTGTATGAGCATGAAAGACTATTCAGGAAGGAAGAAGCCATTACTTTGACAGGGACATAAAAAGCCAGATTACAGTTTGTAAATGCACTCGGGACAAGAAACATAACCTTTGGAAACGTGTAAACAAGCTGAAATGTTTGTCCAGATTGTTCATTGTTACTTTTGGAGGAAAATGCTTGAATACCAAAGACAACAAAACCCATCTGTGAAGTATGGGGATAGTAGCATCCTGTGGTTTGGGTGGTGCATTTCATAAAATTGATTGTATAATGAGGAAACAACTTTATGAGGACATTTTGATTCAATATTTCAAGACAACAATGGAGAAGTTAAGCTTGACTGGACAGTGGCCCTACTGTAATTATGCAAAAATAATTAAAATGTGGCCAATGACAATCAGAAAGCTTTAATCTCAAGTTCATAGAAAATTTGTGGTCAGAACTGTAAAAGTACATCAATAAGGTGGCCTACAGACCTTTAAAATCTATTTGTAGTCAATCTTAAAATACTGTTGCTTTAAAAATTATTTTTTATGAGAATGTAAGATCTACTCCTGCACATTACATGAGTGAAAAATAATTGTTTTATAGTTAGAAGAAGAAAGAAAAAAAAAAGACCTTACCACTGACTTCCAACTCTCCATTCCACTCGGGCGTCTGAGAAATCCCTTTATGAAAGGACCAAAGCAGGAATAACAAGAGCACATTCAACAACATGAAGCCCATCTTCTGATTCCATTATTTGCTGCAGAAACCTTGCAGATAAATGAGAGAACTGGCCATTAAATATATTTGACGTATCCTAAAAGAAGCATAAAACAATGTGAAAGAACGATAGTAGAGCTGCGTTCACAACAGAATGAGGAATCTGTGACGTTAAGTAATAAGCCAGGCTCTGTGTGCCTCTTAATCTTCTACACACAGCTAATGCTGTGTCCTTTATTGAGTTGGGACTGAACATAAAGCATTGGCAAAGTTTTGATTCACCTGACTGAATTTTACTCAGTCTGGAAATAGTAAAACGACAAAAAGGACAGAATAGACAGAAAGTATATGTGAAGGATACAAGTCAACAACCTGAGCTGGGTATTGCAGCCATTTGTTGTTTTTTTGCTGTTGTTTTGAGAGAAGATTAAATTAGTTTTGTCTAAGTGACCTCTTCTAAATGACTGACCAATCAGATTTGTCTTCATTTCACAAATCACATGCACAGAATATTTTTTAATAAAACTAGCAAAACTTAGTCATGAAAATTAGAAACATCACAAAAAGACTGTAATAAACATATACTTAGTACTTTCATCATAATGCAAACATGTTTGTAGAAATGAATCATGTTGCATGTAATACTAATATTCTATTGCAGCAGCAAAATGTTAGTGATTAATTTTGAAAAATCTAATCAGGAATTAAAGCACAGAATAGAAATTAAATTAAGGGAATTACATGGGGGGGGGGAATCTAATGTAACTATTCTCAACAAAATCATTAATATAAAATTTGAATATCACTAATGACCCATCAGTTCAGTTAAATATATTTGAAGTATTTTTTCAAAGAGTTGTCCTATTGGTAAAATGAGTTTGTATACACAATTTAAGTGATAAAAATAAGTGCCAAAAATGATTTTGTTATACTTTAAACCTTTAAAGCTGCAGTGTTTATCAACAGTCAGAAGGGGGCAGTGCAATAAAGGACCAAGGGAATCATTGCATTGAAGAATTCATATTTACACCAATTAAATCCTACATGACTGGTGTAAGCTCTGTTGCATGATTCAATATAAACTCCACTTACAGCCAGCTCAGGTAAATCAAAATATTATAAAGTGCAGATATTTTCAGTAATCCTGCAATGCAAATTAGGAAAAAGCTGTTTTCTGATAATTGTATGTCAGTCCCAGAAGATTTACCAGAATTACACATCAATTCAGCCGAGAACAATAGAAAGAAACTACATTCATGTAAGCGAGTGCATGTTTTAGAGAACAAATAAAAACAAACACAATAAAAAAGTCTTTATTCAAACTGATGAACAAGCCAAACATCAAGTATTTTCTCATAACTCAAAGTATTTGAGTTAAAAACAAATGACTTCAGTGATCTAGCTTTAAAGGCTGTGGTTTATATGTTAGAGCAAAGTCTTGATATATTACTGAATAAATAAAAGTATCTTTAAATACCAGTAAAAATGATCTTCGATAATGAATGCGTCACATAATACAGTTTGAGTTGCGTCAAATAGGTTTTCAGTTATCCAGTTTTAGAACCAGTATTAGCTCTTAACATTCGATGTCACTAAGACTTCAGCGGCCCGTTCACACGGCTCCAAAGTGACTGAGCAACAGTGCTGCTGATTATCCACATCAAGTCAATCCACCTGCATGCCTGGCTGCGGGGCAGCATCCTGGAGCTGCAGTATGACAGAGTCCTCGTCTCCTGTTAGGACGTACAGCATATCCTCCACCTGACCAGCTTCTTCAGTTCTCGTCGGGGTTTCCTCGGTCCTCTGCTCCTCCAGCAGAACCCCTCTGAGCTGCACCTGCACCTGTGGAGCAGCAGCAGCTGCCTGTGCTGCAGGGGCGTCCTCCAGCTCCTGACCGTCATCGGGGCCGCCACCGCCATCGTCGTCGTCATCATCCTCCGCCGACCTCTTCTGCTTTTCCCTCATCAGCTGCTCCGTCAGCTCCACGCTCTCGTAGCGAATCAGCTGCAGCCGCATGAAGCCGTCCTCATGCTCTTTGTACCTGATAGGTTGATTAAAGCCAATCAGAAAAACACAATTGTATTCACAAATATAATTTTACTAATCATTTATCTTGAAAAGTTATGATTTTTAATGATGTTAAAAAGCAAACTGACATTCTTCGAAATGTTACTTTTACTAGTTTCTTCACTGTTTCACAAAAGCATCAATAAACATCAGTCATTTTTATATATTTTATGCCTCTCTTGTCTAGTATTAAATTCTTTGTATCTGAAGTCTAAAGCATTATTTGGTACAATAAGAATATTATAAGTTTAGACTTATAATATAAAAACTTTCAAAGCTATCTGCTTTAAACTGGACACGTACCTGAACCTGGGGTGTCCTGACGGCCATTTGAACTGATGCTTTTTGTGGAGGTGGACTGTCAGGCTGTTGCCTCTGGTGAAACATTGGCCGCACACGTGACATTTGTAGCGAGCTGTAAAAGTCCCCTGATTACGGAAAAACAAAAACAAAGAATTTTACTTGACTCTGCAGGTGGGAAAGCCGAAATCCGCTTCTGCTGTTTCATCAGAGCTCACCTCATGCTCCTTCTGGTGGTGAATCTTCATGGTGCCGGGTGTACGAGATGTGAAGCTGCACCCGGGAACATCGCAGCGGAACGCCGGATCGATGCTGTGGGTGTCCAGGTGTTTACGCAAGTCGATCAGATTCTTACAGCTATAAAACGCAAACAGGAGAAAGCTTTGAAACCCCGTTCATGAGGATGATCTCAGGTTGCACGATCACAGCTGGAGAAGCCAAAACACCTGTATTCACAATACTCGCAGCTGTATGGCTTCTCGTTGCTGTGGCGGAACTTGATGTGGCTGCGCAGCGACGAGGGTGACGGGCACGTCATGTCGCACAGAGGGCATTTGTAGTGGCTCACTGTTGAAACACACGAAGCACAGACTGGTGTTTCTTCACTCTCAAAACAAGGTAATTCAGATGAACGACTGCCTAAAGCTCCGACTGATGAGGTGGAAACCGACCGTGAGTTCTCATGTGGTCTCTGAGGAGTCGCTCTGTTGCAAAACATTTGGAGCAGTGAGAACACTGGAACCTCTGACCTGTATGACACACACACACAAACAAACCCGGCACCAATTCAACACAAACCAAGCCCAACAACTTACTTTGACTTCACTCTAACTCTACCTTCCATGGCGTTCTGTCGAATGATGTGGTCGAAGAACTTGGTGTTGTTTGCATACATCCCGCCGCAGACTGGACACGCCACCACCTTCTCCTGTGTGTGGCTGCGCAGGTGCTCCCGCAGCTTGGGGCGCCCCTTAGCGGTAGCTTCGCAGTCTGGAAAGATAACAAGGCGTGCAAAACAGGAGTTTAGCAATCAGCAACACACGTTCCTGTATTTTACTCTGATAAATAAATACCTTTCCATCCACAGCGTAGGGGGAACTCCCATTCACCTGTCGGTATTTCTATGGACAGGGTATGCATTTCGACGTGACGGTAGAACCACTCCGGGTTTTCATACGGCGCTTGCTGTAGCAGATGTGGGCAGAAGAAAGAAGCCAATATATATATACATATACTGCATGTTGAATTTTATACAGTATAAAATTCAACATGCAGTGGCTCAATAAAATAAAAAAGAAGGTTTTGCCATTAAAGCCTGCACTTGAATCTGATTGAAAAGCTTTGGTATGGCTTTAGGAATAGGCAGATTATTGTTGAAGAAATCCAGTGTTGATGAAATAAAACAAAATAACTCCACATAGAAATAAAAGACTTATTGCACTTAATCAAAAGTGCCTGAAGGGAGTCCTTACTCTCTGATGCCACATCCCCCTTCAGGCAGGCTGGTTTTATACAACATTTTTCACTAAACTAATTAAGTTATGCTGTAAAAACAACTTCATTTACTCAGTTTAAGCGTGTTATTAAAATGCATTTGATGATCTGAAGACTAAGTGTGACAAGTGAAAGAGAAAAATAAATCTTCAAATTACTGAATATGCAGGAGACAGATTGATGGATGAACTGGAACTTATAATCTTGGATAAGAAGATGAGTCCACACATCTAACCAAACCGATGACCAGTGAAAGAACGTATTTAGATATTGAATCTCAATCTTGAATCCTGCTGTAAAATCCCAGAAGCCTTTGTACTCAAATTAATCCCAAACTCATTCTGCTAACAAGGTTAAAAGGACCCAGGATGCAATGCAACTCCCACCTCACACTCTTCCCAAAGACAGACGAAATTGTCCGGGATGTCTGGGATGATGTTGCGGTTATGGTAGGCGATGGAGCAGCTGCCCAGTTCTGGTTGTGCGTCCAGAACCTGCTGGCCCAGCTGCTTCAGCTTCGTGTGGTAGCAGTGGAACAGGAGGTGGCGCCGCAGCTCCTCGGGGCCCTCCACCGAGCAGAAGCCACAGTCTCTCCAGAGACAGTTTCTCTCCCCTGCACAGCAACACAGAAATTACTCTTTTGCTTCACAGCTTTATGGAGTCAGAAACAAGCCCCTCTGAGCCGAACCCACCTTCCGTCTCCTCCTCTTCCTCAGTGAGATGAGCTTCAGCGTGCTTGCAGAAGTTTTCCATCTGGTTGAACGATTCTCCACACGAAGCCCACTCACACGCCACCTTCAGGGGTTTCTTCTGTGTGCGTTTGCTCGGTGCCATCGCTACGTAAACCGGACGCTAATATTGTTTTCGTCTCGCTTGCTTGTGTCTCTAAGTGACCACCATTATCACCCTGTCATCTGGGAGCAAGTCTGAGGCCTTCAGCACCACACAGTCCACCCGGGACAGAACCCACGGGTTAATATGACACGGTAAATAATAGCTTGTTCATTCATTTCACTGTAAACTGCTCCGAGGATGCAGTTGAAGACTCTTTCCCGCGGAGCTCCAGCGACAACCGGAAGCAGCTCCGTCGGAAAGAGGAAGCAGATGGAGTGCAGCAAAATGTTTCGGGTGAAACAAACTGTAGGTCAATATTACCGGGGGCCGCTTGGTACATACACATGTTATGTGCAACTTGACAGAAGTATAAAATCACGCACATGAACAAGGAATGAAAAAGTTACATATTTTTGCACCATAATAATCTTAACATGCTTGAAATGGAGAAGGATGAAGAAAGAAACTAATGAACTCCAACCCCATAAACTCACCATATTTTCAGATGGACCCTAATTATTAAATCAAATTTAAAAATTAATAAATAAAAATAAACATACGTGAATTATTTTTCTATTTTATCTGGGTTTACATATGTCTAAATATATGCATCGTTACCCACACTCACTCAATTTACACATTTGTGCTAACTCTCTTCCATCTTGTGAAAATTACTTCCTTATTTACTTTTAAATTGTATTAAATTTTTGACTTTGTTTTAACACCTCGTTGAACTTCTTCCATCATTTTACACCATGAATTGAAATACAAAAGCTCTTTCTTTCGTACATTATGAATCATTAAGTTTGAGTAATCTCTTAAGTTATATCCCCCCTCTCTTTCAAAACACATGTTCTTTATGTGCTCAGGTAAGTTTGAGCAAAATCAGCTTATGTAAGTTGAGCAAAATCAGCTTATGTTTCTTAAAAAAAAAACCCCAAAACACACACACACACATATATATATATATGTATATATATATATATATATATATATATATATATACACATATATATATATATATGACAGGTTATGTCATATATATATGTCTATATAAATATATATATGACAGGTTAAAAACAAAAACGGTATTCTTGTGCTGCAGTAATAAACACATTCCAAATAATAAAGAAAGCCCATCTCTAAAAATAATTTCAATATTTTTTATTTCAGACTCAATTCCAAAAAATAAACAGTGCCTCGTTTAAAATTACATTCTTAAAGAAGTTCAAGTGCCAGTCAACTTTAGAACTTTCTCTCCTTCAGAAAGCTTTACTTTCAGAACAATCCCATGACTATCATCACAGTTAACTCATTCTAATATGCCTTGGCCCTCCCGGTATTTTCATTAGAGTGTCTCTTCCTGATATGTAACTCCACATGTTCACTTTAACAATTCTGTCTGAGATGGTTCAGAACAAAATAGAAAAACAAAACAAGTATTAACCTCCAATTCACAATGTATGGGTTACTGTGATGAAGAATTTTCCTCCTCTATGTTTGTATTAATAGCAGACCCACTATGATGCATAGTAGACAGACACGTTGACAAATTTGGTCATAGTTGCTCACAAGTTTAGTTGAAGAAAGTCAACACCTCGTTGCAGATGTCTTTCTTAAAAAAAAAAAAAGTACAAATATATACTCTCCAGATTTTTTGCAATAAATTAAGCAACCAGTTGTATTTCCTGTTTGAATTCAGTCCTGCTGTTGATAGTTTCTAACTTAGTGTTTTGGCTTTTCTGCAGATGGAAAAATGACAGGCACAAAAGCCTGTAAGGTATTTCCACAACAAGATGAGTTTTTCTCAGTTTTAACAGGGAGGGGTCTAGACGTCATAGAAGAGACGCACCAGATGATAACGAATCCCAAAAGCCAATGCGCTGCCCATCACCTGAGGAGAAGACAGAATTCAAAATTAGTTCAAAAATGTTTTACTCTGAAAGTTTTCCATCTACATCACCTTTCACATTTTCTCATATTGCAATATCAAACTTGAACATATTTTATTGGGGCGCAAAAAAATAATATAATCAAAAGGATAAATAGCTTTATTTGTTTATTTAGAAATGTTTACAAATATTGAAAAGTGTGGTGTGGACCTACAAATAGAAGGGAAAAAAAGTCATTTTGATGGCTATTCACAGTTTCTCTATCCAATCTGAACTTCAACTGCTTCTAAGGAAGTAGTAATTGCAGTGAAAAATTTTTCAACAAAATAATCACTCGAATTTAAAAACAAATGCAAAGCCAACACTTCAAATTTTTATATGTAAGGGTATAAAGAAAACTTGCACAATTGTTTTAGAATTATGCAATACTCTGTTAATCTAACACAAAAAACTTGAATAAAACACAAATACACAAAATGTGGAACGGTTAAACAGATATGGAAACTTTTGCAAGCCTCTACCTGTATGATAAGCATGATGACTGTCAGATTTCTCTCATGGATTTGCCCGAAGAATTTTAGTACAAGGTTTATTAAAGTCATGTTGTTGCACTCGATAAAGTCTCCATCTCCGTCCTGGCCTCGCCGCACCTCTAGCACTTTTAATAACTCTGCCACCTGTCGGTAGAATAAATGGCATTTAAACACAATTCAAAATCTGCCACTGCCTCGCCTTCAGGTGCCTGTCTGATTACATGAGTAAATGTCAGTACATGCAGGTAATCAGAACTCTGGATTGAACCTCATGTTTCTGATTAAACTAAATCCAATCATGCATTACATTCAAATATGCTGCCGCTATATTCAAGTAGTCTGTGTTTGGAGGGTAAAAACAAGAACTACCGTTGAAGTATTTGAGCTGCCCATCTCCTTGAGCAGTAGAAAATTGCAGCAAAATATCTAGCTGTTGTTAAGAGATTTAAATCCAAGTCACGTTTTACCTGCAGAATGAGTGATCCCAGTTGGGAGAGATCTTTCTTTTTAAATTTAGAGTAGCTCATTCCCAGTTTTCCAGTGTCTGGATCCAGCCTTTCATTGAAAAAGGAACAGTTAGAAAAAACAAACGTCACCATGTACAAAACTATCCTTGGGTCCAGTGATTTTACCATGTTAAAATGTTTTTTGATTCAAAACATGAATCAAAAAAGAACTTAAGGAAAAAAAAAAGCGGACAAAGCAATGTTGTCTCCACACATAACAGACATAAGAAAACCACCAAATGTAAAAAATAAATAAATAAAAAATATTTGTGGTACTTCATGATCAGCAGTATGTTGAACTAATTTGGGTCCAAACAATTTATTTGAATGTATTTAAATTGACAAAAATACCAATTAAACAACAATGATTTTAAACTATTTTAAAGATTTATTTGATAAAATCATAGTGACTCTTTACATTTTGCGCAATGTGTTCAGAATAATTTGAAGTAGTCTGTCAAGCCTTGTCTTTAAGACAAAGGCAAAATTGAAGCAAATGCTTGACAATCAAAAGAGTTTTAAACAACACCCCACTGTTGATGAGTATGTGTTAAAAGTCTTCAAATAAATTCAGCTTCAATTGCAACAGCATAACTAATGCTGCACATTTTCTGTGCGCTGATAATTCTAATTTTATTTATAACTATGAACATTGTCGTATATATAGGGACAAGTTGTCTTCTCTGACAAATTGCAAAAAAACAAATAGTAAAAATAACTAAACCTTTTCAAATATTTTCAGCTTTTATTTTTTTCTTGAATTAGGTCCATCTGATTTGTTAATGATTAGCAAGTTTGTGTTAAGTCCCAAAATATGGTCAATAACAAGGACTAGACCCAGTTGTGTTTATTGAAGAAAATAAAACTTAAATTCACTTTCAAATTATGCAAACCAGCATATGATAACAAAACACTAACATGTCTCTAATAATGCCCAGAAGACAGAAACTATATTGAATTACTGACGAGTGATTTACCTGGGGAGCCTGTGTCTGGGACAGGGGATAATGTGGAAAAGCTGAGGTAACGAGTAGATGAAGTTGACCACTTGAGGAATGAAGAACAGCAGCATGGTCTTACTGAAGTGTCCCAGGATGCCTACAACAGCGAAGGTCATCCCGGCAAAGTAGCAGAAAGTGTCTCCCACAAACACAGACGAGGGATACCTGAGTCAACGCAGGTTTCGGTAAGCTAGGTGCCAGTTTGCATTGTCGAACACAGAAAATAGTGTTTTGGCAAACTGCTGGAGGGCTTTGCGTTTAACTCACCAGTTGTGGTAAAAAAGTGCTAATGTGGTGAAGAAGAAAGGAATCATGAAGTAGAGAGAGAAGACGTGGTCGTCCCGGTAATCCCCTGCTTTTTGTAAAAGCACAACAGAGAAAAAGAAACCATGCTGAGATACTTGCATTATGTCATAGAAGTTTGTAGCATATGCAAAAACAAAAATCATATAAAACAATTCAGCTATTTCTAAAGCATGTTTGTTTTCTAAAATGTGTTGAACATCAAACATATGAGTCGAATAAAAAAGAAAAAGGATCTACAGTCACTCACCACTGAGCTCCAGCAGATTAAAGACGATGATAGAACCAGATATAAACAGGGCTTGACCTGATTCAATGCCGTTGATGCCTGCTAAGATGTTGATGGCATTTGTGCAGAACACTGCAAGCATCCCCATGTAGACGTAATAGAGAATACCTGCAGGACACGGAAAGACAATCGTTAGTTGTGCTTTTGGTAATGTGTTTTAGGAAAAAAAGTTTAAATTATTACAATTGTATGAAGCAGAAAACAAAGTAATGACTGCGCAAGTAATTATACCTTATAAACTTTAGAACACTTTGATATGCTATAACCTCAAACTTTGACATATTTGAATGAAATTTTATTGGATGGGCCTCAAAACAGCAAAAAAAAAAAAAAAAAACTGTGCAAAATGAGAAAGTGTTCAACAGATTCCAAGGTAGTCTATATTTCAATATAGTTTTTTTTAATTATTATTTTTAGAATGAGTTACAAAATCGATTCCAGAGAAATCTTGATATTCCCCAGGTTCAAACCAACAAGTTGTAATCAACTTACCCAGATCTAAATGCATCCCAAACAGTACTCTGAAAGGCTTGGGCACCACTATGACAGTATTTCCAAAGTTTGTGAAGTAGACCATGAGCAGTGGCAGAGAAGCCATGGTAGGAAGAAGGAGCTTATGCCTCCAACGCAGATTCAGCACGTCATCAGCAAAGCCCAAAAAGATCATGCAGCAGATGGCAAGAAGGGCACCAATCAGCTGTACAAACTGCTCAACCAAACACATGGAGAGA